TAGGAGGCATAATCGGGGGTGTCTTTGGCGGCGTAGCTGGATTGGCCTTGATTAGCGTATTGCTCTTCGTCTGCTTGCGAAAACGGAAGTCGCGGCCCGTGCGATGGAACGAGAAGCAAGAGTCTGGCCCAAGTTTCCTGGCCAGGTTGAAGACGATACCCAGCGGGGTGGGCGCATTCGTTGCCAGGATTAAAGGAAGCCAATCCGGCCCGATCAGCAATCCCTACCAACGCCACGCTGCGCAAGCCAGCGTCGGTTCAGTGTATTCGAGGGACTCCAATGGCAGAGGTCGATCAACCAGCGAGCCGCAAGGATTCTTCGGTGTCAAGCGCGCAGGCTCCAGTAACAGCATGTCAAGCAAGAAGAGCGAGAGAAATCTGCTCCGGAAGAAACCAAGCAGCATTTCATCAAACTACCGATTTCCAGGGATTGTCGAAGATACAGGTTCGCCGAATCCTTTCGCTGACCCGAAAAGTACGCTGTTGGTACTCAACCCGGATCCTCGAAGCGCGCCTGTCACACCGCAGGTCCCTGTTGCTGCTGCCGACACGGAACCCAGAGATCCTTTTGCATCTATCCAGGACCCACCTGGAGCTGCGCCAGCTTGGGCTCAAGTACCGACTCATCATCATACACGTACTATAAGTTCAGTATCGGCCCTGAGCTCACATCCCGTGTCCTCATTCTATACGACCGACAACCCGTTCCGAGATCCACCTTATGCACCGCCTGCTCCCAGCCAGGCCGTGCTCCCAAGCCATACCCGCCGTTCGTCCATGGCATTACCAGGCTTCAACGCGCTATCGACCGTGGATGCAACTTCCACGTTCGCCTCTCGCGACTCTGACATGTTCTTCGGAGAACCAGGACCGAGCAGGCCCGCCACAAACTTCTTCACCCCAATGCCAACTGGTCGTACGGTCCGGCAATCGGATCCTTTCGACCTCGACCGACCTGAAGTTCTTGGCTTTACGAGCGTCTTCAACATCAACAGGAAAGAAGTGGCCGGGAATATCACGCGACAACCCACACGAAGTAAACGAACAAGTAGCGTCGGCAATTGGGGCAACGCGGCGCCAGACGCCAATAACTATGGACTGTTTCCGAGAGACAGCACAAAGCAGCCACCACCATGGGGACCGAACGGCAGGAGATGACGATGATGACAAAATGTCACAACGGAGGACCTCTTTCGCGCACAGGACGCGTAAAGACTTAATGAGCAACAACACGGACGGCGTCCCACGATCTTTTCTCTCGATGGCAGGAAGTATTCCGCGGGCTCCATCACATCCTTTTTAAACCCACACACACACACGTTTCCTCCCACTTTCAATGTGCACTGAGCGAGCTATTTTCTGTAACATATATCCCCCCGCTACAGATTTTTCTTGTAGTTGTCGTAGCGTAGCATAGCGTAAAATATACCCCTCAATGAATATCATTACGTATACCAGTATTCAGTTTTCTAGGCAAAGGAAATGATTAGTGATTGTTGCATTGATTGTGAAATGAAGTGTTGGGTCGTACGATGGCGTGGACGGGTGGCGGCTGCCAAGGTGGGTTTGGAGTGTCAACCTGAGGCAAGAGCGTGAGACGCTAGGTATAAGGTTTGAGAGGTTAGTGACAGAAGTCTGCTCGGATGCATGAAATGCTTGGGCCGTGGAGGTGAATGGTTCGGATTATGGCATTCAAGTAAGGAAGGCATGTTGACATGAAAGACTGGGATGGGCAGTTGCGCTTTCTTGATGTGGCTGACCCCGCTTAGGCAGCTATCAGCACCTTCCTACCCTTCTCTCAACAATAATACACATCGTCCGAACTACAACGCACCTTCCCGTAACAACATACCTGCCATCGACTGATGTAGCCGCATTCTGAACTCCTTGATAATTCAAGATCGATCGTCACTTCCGGCAGGCCTTGACTATGCTGTGCGATGTCTGTCTGGATATCTTCAGAGGCTCATTTTTTACGGGATACACTGAGCACCATGGCTCGGTCCAAAGCTTGCAGCGCTCCGTTCTCGAGAAATGTGAACTCTGTCGCATTTTCTGGGATGAGATTCCGAGCATGTCAGCATCAGGTTACGAGGACGTTCAGGTTTCAACGAAGTACAGATTGAGTGCTTACAGAGATACAAGCGCCAAATTACTGGAATTTAGAGCAACTTCACATCCTTACATGCAAGACTGGAACATCTTCTGCGAGCCCACAAATGGTAGGCTCATCTCGTCATGGTCGAGCAGTACATGCTGACATTTGAAACGGGGGACGGCAAAAGTTCTGACAATGAGAAACCATACGACTGTTTAGACTGGAACGCCAGTATGACGTGTGCAAAAACTTGGTTAGCCGGGTGCATAGAAAACCACAGCGAATGTCCAGCATCTCGCTCGAACGGGCACACAAGCAGCGAAACATCACACTCTGTAGTCGAGCCTGCTCCATATCGCCCAACACGTCTCCTCGAACTCGGCTCCCCAGAAGCCGGCAAAGTACGCCTTCGGCTGTCCTCCGAGCTGGACAGCACTGCTTCACAATATGCAACACTTAGCCATTGCTGGGGGAAATCCAAAACACTTAGGTTGACATCGGAATCATTCGGACGCTTCAGGGATGGCATGTCAGTCACTGACTTGGCAAAGACATTTCAGCATGCTATATCCACTGCGCAATCTCTTGGCATGAAGCTGTTATGGATAGACTCGTTCTGCATCTTCCAAGACTCCAAAGAAGATTGGGCACAAGAAGCTGGTCTCATGAGTCAAGTGTATCGCAACAGCTTCCTCAACATCGCTGCCAGTATAGCCGTCGATAGCGATGCCGGCTTTCTCCGTGAAAGAGCTTCGACTGTTGAGCCTTGCGTCGTTCAGACTACGTGGACCGATCATCCGAATGGCACTTACCATGTATACAACAAAGCCTATTGGTTTGAGAATTTTGAGCGTATGCCTTTAAATTCACGCGCATGGGTCTTTCAAGAAACAGTATTGGCTCCCAGAATCCTACATTTCTGCGGTACCCAGATGTTCTGGGAGTGTCACGGCTTGAAAGCCTGTGAGACATGGCCAACGGGGCTGCCAAGTCGCATGGAAATACAGCATTCGCTGAAATCCACAAGATATCCTGCAGGTATCGAGATCTTTGGCTCAAAGTACACTGATGGCAAGGAGCTTACACATATATCTACGGATAAGAACGCTACGCTTAACATGACTTCGTTCCGGAGCCTGTGGAGAAAGATTACAGCGGAGTATAGTCAATGCAACCTGACTTTCGGCAGCGACAAGTTGATTGCACTGTCGGGAATCGCAAAGCATATGGAGCAGCTTCTCGACATAGAGTACTGTGCAGGCCTTTGGGGACATGACATTGTTCAAGGATTGGCTTGGTATGCTCCTAAGAAGAGTGAAAGGGATTACATATTCCAAATGGAGGCAGATCCTATTCACTACCGTGCACCTTCATGGTCATGGGCATGCACAGATCGTCACATATGGTGGTATGGGTACTTCCAGGCGGAAGGCCAATGCTTGGTCGACGTCATCCGTTGGGAAGTTCAGTCTGCGACAGGAGACCGAACAGGTGCCGTCACCGGCGCTACTATGCAGCTATGCGGCTACCTGACAACTATGGAGCTGCATCCAACTTTCGGAACCGAGAAAAACTTCGACATTCACTGCGACGGCAAATGGAATAGCATGAGTAGTCACAACTTTTACTTTGATCGCCGGCCGCTCTCGTTCCAGTTGCATTGTATGCCGCTCTTCATCGACTGTCTCGGGTACTTGTGTGCTCTTCTACTTGTACCTATGCGAGACATACGCGGACAGTTTCGAAGGGTGGGTATGTTTCGTACGCTATTCCGTGAGAAAGAACCCGTGGACTGGAATCAGCTTGATAGCTTCAAGAACGAGTGGTGGTTGGAGTACGAATCGATCGATGGTGAGGGGAAATACACGATTACGATCATATAAAAACGACCTCAGTTCTGCGATACGAGACTGCAGACGACATAACGTCTTTCATCCTCCGCTATAAACTTTTGATCACCTCCCAGAGGCTACACACATAACAATGGGTAGAGAGACTCTTTGCAAAAGTTCATGAGAGAAATACAGGAAATAAAGCAGGTCCTATGCAACTGCAGCTCAGTCGATTGTATTCATACAACCTCCGTTCTACTTTCGTCATCGACATCGCAAAAGACGTACGCATGACTCTGCGTGACCGCCCACACCTATCAGGTCGTTTCCACCCAACGAGACCAAGGTATTAAAGCGGTGGTGAAGTAGTAGCACCGCAGCTCTCTTTCGAATTCATGTAGCTTGATCACTGTCGACCCGTAGCATCGGCTGTTTTGTCGTTCTTCTTGGTGTCTTCTTCGCCCACTTTCGACCTCGCGGAACATCTTGTGCTTCTTGGATTGTTTTGGAACAAGCAACGGGAAGAGTCGCAGGGAAGGAGAGAGGCAAAGACATATGATAACTTTTTGACCTTTTAGGCGCGAGGAAGAAGACAGGCGGAGACATTGAGAGTGGTTTTGGACAGGCAGCCATGACACGGTAGTTCCATCTTTTAGACTCGAGCAGACAGTTGGACATGGCGTCGCTTTGGTAATTTTTGGAAAGAAAGGCACATCATTCTAGAGGCGATATTTTCGGTGCAGGCGAGAAGGCCATGAAATTGATCAACGCACATTTTGGAGAACATTGCGTAGAAAGGTGATGTAGAAGTCAGAGAGGCTGGCGCGCGTGAAGCTTATATACCTTTCTCCGCCAAGAGACCAAAGAGAGCACGTGTCTTGCCATCAGTTTATGCCATGTTAAAACTAAAGAGAATGATCAATCGCGACCATCGTCAGGCATGCAGGGTAAAGAACGAAGTATTCCAAGTTGTTGCATCTTGCAGTTATTAACATTATTCTATGCTGTTTCTATTCGTCTCGATAGAACTCCAGGACGATATCATCTTCATTATTTCCACCTCATTTCCATCTATGCGATACCGAAGACCTTGGTAGGGGTAATGGTGAAGTTGAGAGGGTAGGTGACAAACTGGTTGTACCTGGCCTCGTGGGTACCAGAGAAGTTGTACGCAGGGCTATGATATTGAAGTTGGCTTACGTCCATACAATGTATCGGAAGATGGAGATGTTGTAACTTACCGGTCACCATAAGCCGCATACTCAAAGCTAACCTCAATCTCCTTAGGTCCAAGACCCTGACCATCGTGCACCCTCTCAGACAGCCTAGCCGCAACACCGTTGTTGACACCCTCAAGCAGCTGGCAGTTCTCGTACGCAGAAGGAATCATGAAGCTCTGGTCGTAACCCTGCTCGTAGCCGTGGCAGTACGCCTTGACGCCAGCGGGACCTTCCGGTACGCTCGGCACGGTGATGTTGAAGTTGTAGTAGCAGCCCTGGCGGGAGCAGCCGGCTTCCCAGTTCTCGACTTGCCAGGTCCAGCCTTCTGGGATGGCGATTTGGCGGGCGACGGGGCCGGCCATGGCGGTTGTGGCGAGGAGGGCGAGGGCGGTGAAGGAGACCATGGTTGCGGTTTATGTGTGTGGGTTTGGTGGGTTGGTATTAGATGTAGAGAGGTGTGAGGCGAGAGTGTGTGAGGTTGTGAGTACAGCAAAACGAACGACGCGACGAAGACCTAATATACAATCCCCAATCTTCGCAACACGAGCCCCCAACCCACGGCCAAAGGCACAGTCGTGCCGATTAATCAATCGCCAATACGGCTATTAGCCGTACGGACGGACAAAGTTTACTCGTTCGGGCATTTAGACGTCACTTTGCGCCGAGATCGCCAGCCGAGGATGCCCGTTACAGCATGACGCACTAACGCGAAGACAAGGCTGTCCCCGTCCACTAACCACAACGCGCGCATCACGGTCCACCTATGGCCTATATTTGGCGTCAACGTCTTATGCCCTTCTCCCACGATGCGAACAGTGTGCTCCTTCACCGTCTTCTAGGGTGAGATGGACGGACGACAAGATATTGGCTGCAGGCCATGCCCTCGGATTGTGAGCTGATTAGGTGAGTGTGCCACTGCTATGCAGTTAGTCTACCAGTTTTGCCGGCATGGCCACAGTGGAGACGCTAGGTGCGCTCTCGTATTTCCCCATGATGGTGGTGCGAGGAACGTCATTTCTCGACCAAAAGTCTGTTTAGTTGCTGTTTGCTGTTACAGTCGCCACGGGGGCTGAGGTAACATCATTTCTGGGCAGACCTCACCTGATCGTATTGCTTCTGCGGCTAAGGCTGGTCGAATACCGCGTTGTTCTTCTGCGACGACGGTCGGTTTATCATGGTTGACCTTTTGGGCTCTTTGGAAAGCGACAATCCATGGGCCTTGTACCCACATGATTCTGGAGCTTTGTGTGGCTTCCAAACAAATCGTCAATCATGGTACCGCTATTCAGCATTTTCTAGAGGAACATTCGACAACGCAGCACATAGTTCACTTTTCTCTCGGTTTAATGTTTTGGAGAGAAAGAGGACGCGACACACGCATAACACAGTCAAAGCTTAGTTTCGAGAAGACGAGGAAGCGACAAACACATGTCGACGTGTTGGTGACGTTTTGGAGAAAGACAGGAAGCGACAGACCCATCAAGACATATTCTTTCCATTTTGGTTCCACAAAGAAGAGTAGAAGTGTGTTGGAAGAGGGAAAGAGTCCACCACCCGTGGGATTTTTATATCCCCTCCTGCCACCTGAGGAGACCAACAGAAACATGAAAAGAAACGGCCGCGTTTTCGCAACTGAAAGAAAGGACACTGGCAGCCACACTCATATAAATAATCTGCCGGACTTTTGATACAGCGCCTTTATCCACTACCGTGATTGCGAGAAAGGACCCAGAAGGACACATAATTTCGTCGATTTTGTTTTTGAAAGAGCAACTTCCACTGCGCTTGGCTCATGTCATAATTGTGGTATGTTTTAGATCCAGAACGACGACGGAGAAAACAATCATGGTGTGATGGGATATGATATTTGGAGGAAGAGACGAGCGAAGCACCCATAGTAGCTGCTAGTGGTGTTTTGGAGAAAAGAGCCAGCAGCACATGTGAGCTTTCACGCTGCATTTGGAGAGAAGAAGGAGACAGCACACCCATGGAATTACCAAGATTGGTTTTTAGTCTCACGCAGAGTGAGTTTATGAGGAGAAGAAGAGTGCCATAACGGAGGTTTATATATGCACAACAGGTGGTTTGCGCTAGGTCCAATACAGCAGACGTAGGGAAGACGCCGACATAAGCACTGGCTCAATGTCCTTCAATCTTTCCATGGTGATGTAGTAGGTACCTTTTGGAGACCAGAAACACCCATGAATGGTTTTCCGCATGTCTTGGATAAGAAAGTCCAGCTCCAGCTGGCTCATACGGGGTTATTCCTTTTGTTTAGAGTCAGGAAAGCCGGAGACACAGCCATGTTCGTAGTTTGGAACTGGTTTTGGAGGAAGAACCGAGGACGCAAAACATTCGTATGCTCGCTTCGTTCTTTGGTAAAAAGCAGTCCAAGGTAGGTTTTAAGGAAGGAAGTAGGAATTCAAAGCTCGCTCATAGCTTACTTATATCCTCGTAGATTTGGATCCAGAAGACGGAAGGAACAGTCAATCGGCTTCCATAAAGACTTTTTTGGAGGAAGAAGCGACACATAGTCTCAGGGATGATGATTTTGGTTAAGCCCAGAAAGGCGGAGAAGGCAGTCATGTCATCTCTCTGCTTGTGTTTTTGGACTTGCCCAGGAGAGGCGGAGGAGACAATCATTCGGCATGTTGTGATAATTTTTGGAAGAAGAGGCGGCACATAACAGGCGGACCTGGAACTTTGAATCAGTCCAGGGGAGACAGAGGCAGAGACAGCCATATGTATTCCCCTCGTGGGTTTTGGAGAAAGGCGCAGCACATGTCCTCGACTCCCAGTTGTTTAGATCGATCCAGAGAAGGCGGAAGGAACAGTCATTCTACAGGGCACTCCACGGTTTTTGGAGGAAGAAACAGCACATGGCATAATCCATTGTGCTTTTTGAGTACGTCCAGAGAAGGCGGAAAGAACAGTCATTGAGAATGACCTTGAGGAATTTTGGAAGAAAAAGCGAGGCATGTACTTCTGCCATAGACTTTTTGAGATCGATCCAGAGAAGGCGAGGAGGAACAGTCATGACACCACAATGTTGTCTTTTGGGAGAAAGAAGGAGGACACAGGACATGAAGTCGTATGCCGATTTTTTTGGAGAAAGAGGAGGCAGCGCACCCATAGACCTCTCCTCGACGTGTTTTTGTTCCTGTAAAGGAGGAAGTGAGTGATGGAAGAGAAGAAGAGAGGCTTGCGAGAGGAGTATTTATATGCCAGGCACGCGCTATGGCGAGGACCAAAAAGGTATGGTATTTGGCATCGATGTCCGTGGGATGACGAAAACCCGAGACGCAAGAGCATGTATTCCACAACGTCGACGGCAAATCCATCATCTCGTCTCTCATTTTCACATTCCCAACCTAAACAACCTCACAGCACAATCTCACAATCCACTCTACCCACCTCCCTGGCTAACTCCTACTCGGTACATCCAATCCCCTCACCCTCCTTCTATCCCCATCCCTCCCCTCCCGCTCATCCCCACTCCCCCCCTTCTCCTCAACCATAACCCCCCCATCACTACTCGTCCCACTCCCCCTCCTGCCATCCGGGCTCAAACTACTCCCGTCCCTCCTACTCGCTCTCTGCATCCTGGACGCAGCCGTCGGATCCGCATCCGCCAGCGCAACAGGCGTAGCGACCCTCGCCAACTGCGCCACAGCACCCATTTTCTTATCCGAGATCTCTTGGGACGTAGTGTTGGCAGTGTTGGCAGTAGTAGTAAGCATACACGACGCGACTTCGCTGCGCACAGAGCTTCTACTGCTGGAGCGCTGGGAAGAAGACGAGGGGGCGGGTTTGTTGTCGTGGTGGGAGGAGGATGGATGCTGCGGGATAGGCATGACAGCCAATTCACCCAACCAGCGTCTCGCCAACGCCCTTCTGCATCGTCCAACGACACCGAAATCCTCTCCACCACCAGTCGCACTCCCACTGCCATCAACATTCTTCCCGGGCCTAACTTTCTCCTCGCCAAACCACCGCGTGATGAGTCGCCATTTAAAGCCTGCCCACCACCCCACAGGCACAACATCATCGCGCGGCCCACTGCGACTCCACAGGCTGGGCTGTGCAGTGGCAAGTTCATGGTACAGCGCCTCGTAGACACCTCTGCGCATGGGGTTCTGACGCTGCGTTGCGAGATTGTGTTTTACGCCGTACCAGAGGATGAGGACGATGACGAGGACGGGGATGGAGACTATGAACCACCATTTTAGGGGTGGGTTTTCGGAGAAGGTGGAGACGTTCATGCCGAAGAAACCGACTGTGAAGGTTAGGGGGAGAAAGCTGGGGGAACACAATGTTAGTTTCTGGTGAGGGATGAGGGAGGGAGGAGGGAATGGTGGCTTACATGAAGGTAATCCAACTCAGACGCCACATACTCAAGCCGAGTTGTAAAGAGTGTCGTGCATCCCTAATACCTACACTCTTGTACATGAGATCTGATAGAGCGGTCGTGGGGAGGATGACATCTCTTTCCCACTGCCCGGTCAGCTTGTCGAGTTCGTCTGGTACGGACCCTAGCCAGGGCTGGTCTGAAGATTCCTTTGGATCGGCTCCTGCTAGGTCGTGGAGATGCGTGACCATTTCCTTGATTACGTCGACGTGGATGTATATGAGGCGTTCGACCTTGAGCCATTGCGCGCTGTTTTTCCAGAGTTCGGGGGCGCGGGATTCGTCGGCGGGGTTCTCGTAGACTGAGTGGAATGGTGGTCAGTATAGCTTCTTGTGAGCGGTAGGTGGAAGTGACTACTCACTCTTATCTTCCAGAATCCCAACATGTGTCTCGCAAACAGCCAGGAATTTCTGCCAATTGTAGCTCAACGCTTTAAACACGTCCTGCAATATGAAATCCATGCACTCCGCCGTCAGAGTCTCGTCGTTTTCCTCCATGGGCAAGTAGAAGGACAGTCGTCTCCAACGAGACTCGAGTTCTTGTCGCGCGCCGATAAGGGTATCTTTGACGGAGCCTGTGACCGAGTTCTCAAACAGGATGATTGTGTTTCCGTTGTCGAGGGACCGGAGCTTGGGGATGTAACGTTCCTGGTGCTCATTCGCATCTACGTTGCCGTAACTCTTCTTCAACCGCATGTACTCCTCCCACGCTTCCTCGTCGTATGGGTTCGGTATGTCCGGATCGACGGCTTGCCCTGGGGTTCCGTCGCTGAGTTGAACGTAACAGCTCAAGCGCTGCACATATACGTCGTGTCCATATCGTGGCTGATCCGTCTCGTCGTAGTGATTGAGCTCCATGATGGACTTGTTGTTATTCGGCCGAGGAATGTGTGTATTCCTGTCGTAGGATTTGAGATAATCGGCTCCGAAGGCTGCGCGCGAGATGCCGCGCCAGGGATCGCGTTGAGCACGGAATGTACGACCATTGAGGACAGGTTTGCCGCCGCGTTGTTGAGGCTTTTCGTAGCTGGCCCAGCGACCGAAGTTTGTGCCTACCAGATCGTCTGTGGCGTCGATGTTAAACTTGCGGAGGAGGTAGCGTGTCGCCCAGCTGGCGTTTTGGACGTGGATCACGCGCAATGCAGCTTGCGCCGAGAGGTCTTCTTTGCGATAGAACCGGCGCAGACTGTCGATGTCGGAGAACTCCTGAGCCACAATCTTCCGCCTGCCCTCCGCTGAGTGTTCCTTTGCGACATAATCGATGAGCAGCACGCGGCCCTGTGACCAGCTCTCCTTTGTCCATGGTTGCCGCCATTCGAGATTCGGACTGTGCTTGCGACGGTGGCCAAACGTGCCTTTCGGAGGTTCTCGGTGCCGTAAATGTGACTGTTCGTGTTCGTGGGAGTAGTGCGTAGACGTGGTAAAGGCTCGAGGGGCTGTTCTGAATGTCAGCTAGGGATCCTGACAGCCAGCAAGCGCGACATCTGCCAGCGCAACGCCAACCTGGTAACTTCCAGGACCAATAGGTTCTTCTAGTAGTATCCAAGCTCCGCGCCATCATACCTCTTCCTCACAACCTCTCTCCCTCCTTGATCCTACTCTCCTCTCTTCCCGGGGAAACTCACCATTCACACCCTCCATCTCAGGACTCGGCAGCGGCCCGACCCCCGTCGCCGTATCCTCAACCGTAATCGGCGGTGGAGTATTCGACATTCCCTTCCTCATACTAGCCATGCTGTACCGAATATCCTCCTTCGTAGCTAAATCGTGCCTTCGCTATGTCGTGTGCTAAACGCAAGTCGCATTCAAGGATGATCAGCCGCCAACGAAAACGAGAGAGCACGGCGACCGCGTACGACGAACAAACAGGTCGGTTGGTGGAAACAAGGCGCACATAGATGATGTGATGTGCGATCGCGGAGGGTATGTCACGGTGGGTGGTAGTGGAGTGCCATGATGGTGGCCTAATCCCGTGTGTGGTGCTGCGCTCAGAGCGAGGTCATGCCGTGCTGCCGTGTGTGGGTATGTTGTGGCTGATGCGATCATGAGGCTGAGATGGAATCCGCCAACGGGCGCGATGAAGCGTCACGGGAGCGGGGAGATTTGCGGTTCCTTCCAGTCTGCCGTTTTCCCTTGTCCGCTTATTAGAATGGTATTACAATGCCATTAGAAAGCCTGATCTATGTGCGCAGCGTTGAAAGGGAAGTAACGTGTACTGCGTGTGTGGATATGTTGTGGCTGATGCGATCGTCTGGGGTTCGCGTCGCGTGAACATTTGGTGCCCGCACTAGAGTGAACTAAGCTGCGGAATCAGCCTTACGGATACGGGATGACAAGAGCACGACAAGAGCGCCTGCACGGCAGATTTCGATCAATTACGCTATTATTCAGACAAACATCATGTACCTCAACACGGCACACATCTTAATTAGATTCTAAGTAACTAGACAGTAGACTACGAGTTCCATATGGAAGACTCGGTTATATGCGAAACAACAGCGAGGTGGTATGGTAATAATGTCGTAATATCGTGTCGGGTTGATGCAGCTGCGCCAAAACCAATTGCGCCGAGATGTGGATGGGGTATTAGCAAAGGGAAATGGAGAGAGAAAGACAATACAAGGAAAACCCTCGGCATGAGAAGTTCCACTTCGCTCGCTCGCTCGCTCGCTCAAACGCCGTCAAGAACGATGGTGGGGAGAAAAGCAAGAAGGGGGGTATCTAATCATTCACACTGGCGGCTGCGTCTCGTGATTTCCTCGTCACTGAGGGCAGCGAGCCAGAGACATTTGCTGAGGACGTGAGGTTCGACGTTGAAGGTGTATTTGGAGCTGGCTTCGAGGAGGCGGAGAAGGTTCTTGACGATCGCGGCGGCGGTGTGGTGGCGGTCAAAGTTGACGAGGCGTTCGCCGTCGGCGGGTGGGGCGTCGATGAAGGCGGGCTTTTGGGCGTTGTAGATGAGGTCGCGGGTATAAACGCCTGGTGATTGTTAGCTTTTGAAAAGGCGGCTGTTGGACAATTACGCACCGATGAATGGAATGCAACCGTCGTCTACAGTTGCTGTTTCCATTTCGAGCCGCAGGTTGTGGAAGTTCTTCAATGGTTGGACAAGCGCTTCCAGCTCGGTCATGACCAGCATCTCGGCTGCGGGAACCAAAGCCCATGTCTTCTTGAGGCTTGATACATCGTTCGATATCAGGGCGATCGCGATCTGATACATTGTAGCGTAGTTGCGGTATCGTCGCGCGTGGGTTGCGATGTGAATAAACTTGGTGATGCATCGCGCACGCTCATGGATATCCTCGGTGAGCAGGACCTCAGATACGACCCATTTGACGACAAGGTTGAATCGCGCGATGACGACATCCACACCTCTAGCCTCTTCCGTTCGGAGATATTGTACCCAGTCGCGAATCTGCGGGGACGACTGCTTCCAGCGCAACTCAATAAGTTCCTTCCAATCAATCTCGTCCAATGCGTCCTTTTCAACAATGGTAAACTGCTGAGCGAGGACTTCGGAGTCATGGGCCAAAATGAAAGGCAAATGTGCAGTCCGAGTCGGAGCTGCACCCTGCTGAGGACCTTCTAGATCAGCGGGAGACTCAGCAAGCTGCACAGGCTGTGTGGGCGGCTGCTGGTTCGCGCGAGAGACGGTCGGGGTAAGGCCTGGTGTTGGCAGCCCTCGGTCGAACACTGTTGAGCTAGGTAATTCGTCGTTCAATCGGTTACCCGTGAGAGGCGGTGTTGGAGGGTGGCGCATAGGATGCGTAAGATTGTCAGGGTCGTCCTCAGGTGTTGCCGGCTCGTCGTCGAAGAAACTCCTCACACCGTGACTGTCACGACCTGACTTCGCTCCTCCAGCAGAACTCCTGTCACTGAGATCCTCGTCCTCGTCAAGCAAGAACGATTCGCGCGGGTAGGCTGTACTTGGCAAAGTGCCACCCGGCGGTATTTGCTTCATGCTCTCTGTTTCGACGACGTAGTCGATGGAGGATTCCATCGACGAAGATGTTCCCGGTGGACCTTCAGAGTGTGGCGAGACACTAGCGAAATGCAGAGGAGACGGTTTGGCGGAAGACCTCATAGTATCAAGCGTATGTCCTCGCTGGGGGGTTTCAATCTGACTCAAGCCCCGGTCCAGAAGAGGTATTGAGGAATAAGAGTCGGTCGACTCCCCAACAGACTGAACCGCGGGTACACGGCGGTTGAAGTTCTCAGCGGAGAGGCGGTACATTTCTTGTCCGTCTGTTTCTGGAGGAGCCAGTGGACGGTGGAAGACGTCGTCGGTTTCGGGACGCCCTCCCTGGTCGAAGGTATCAGCTCGTGCGCGTTGTTGATCAGCGCCTGTCGGGCGGTAGTAGTCTAGCTCAACAGTAGTCCGTTGGGAGGGAATGCTGGGCGACTTCTTCTCGTAACGGCCCTCCAGTTTCATCAGAGCCGACTCGACACCACCTTCGTCGTCCGTATCGTCAGGGAGAGCAGCAAGCTTTGCTACTTCGGCTTCGAAAGACGGTCTTAAATTGGGCTGCGAAGAGTGCGTGTCTACTAGTGAGATGGGCTTCTTTGGGACCTCAGCTTCGGCTGGCCCTTCTGTGACGGGCTGGGCTTCTGCTTCTGGGTCGTTGAAACGATCGGATCGTAGAATGACCGAGTTTGTGACCGAATGCGTGTGGTTAGAGACCGAGCCGGTAGAGTGTGGGCGCTGTGATAGTTCGAGATCATGGACGTTTCCTGCAGCGCGAAGGTCACCACCCGGACGCCTACGAAGCTGGCGTCCGGGCCCGCTAGCATCAGGCGCTGGCTGGCGGTCGAGGAAGAAGGGATCGTTATCTGATGACATGGTTTGAAATGTAGCAATACTCGCGGGTCCTTGACGTCTACTAAGCACGCTGTTGTAGGATGCATGTCGGCGGAGAGAGCCTGCCCGCGCAAGGGAGTTCTTGGCCGACCCCCGGCGTCGGAAGGAGTGCATCCTTTCTGGGCCCGCAGAGATGGACCTCCTTGTTTGTCTGGTGGTGGGTCGTCTCGTCGACATTCGTGAATAGCGGTGCTCTTCTGTTGCTGTTGCTGGGCGAGGCTCTGGATCGTCGTAGAGCTCGGAATGCCTTACTGGGGCAATGGGCTCACTAGCTGATTGTTCATTACTTGCCTCTTCTTGCTGATGACTGTCTAGCTTTGTTGCTACCTTGTCGAGATCGGGCACCAGGGTGTCCGATATGACGGGCACGGGCGGTGGCCCGGTGTCGTCGATGATCACTATCGACTTGCTGCCGCTGGTGATAGCGCTGTGTACGCGAGGGTCTTGTGCTTTCTGGCGCTCCTGCTGAGTTGGAGTACCACGCCTGTCGAACTCAAACTCGAATCCACCGAGATCAGGGGGCTCAAGACCGTGTTCCTGACTTTCACTTTCAAGCTGCTCTTGGACAGCCGCTCTAAAACTCTCTGCAACTGCGGCGGCCAGGACATCGATGCGCACCTGGGGCTTTGGTCGAGTGGGACGTCGCTTGTGTACGCCTCCTGAGATAGAGACGGAAGACATGGCACCCGGATTGGAGGCTCGCACGTAGGGCGGTTGCCGTTGTTGCCCAACGCTACCTAATTGGGGGCTTGGACTCATTTGCTGCCGGGTGCTTAACGCGCGGCGTACACTGCCGAAGATCTTCTTCATGCCTGGAGAAGTCGCATGCCCGGGTCTCTGGAATTCGTTCGCTTCCGCATCTTCGATGTCATGCAGATACTGAGACCGTGAAGGGCGCAGAGCTCTGACCTCGAAGTATGGGGAGCTGGGCTGGAAGAGTCCACCACGTACTAGCGTGCCGGGCATGTTCGTGACCGCAGACATGGCAAAATCTGCGGGTGCGTTTTTGGGAATGGATAGTGGCGCTCTGCTGTCTCGAAGAGCATCGGTAAAGCTGCCACTACGTTTGTGGCCATGCGATGGGCGGTGAGCGTTCTTGATGGACGCTGGTTGTTGTGGACTAGCTGTCAGGCGAGCGGTGCCAGTGGGAGCTGGGTTGGTGACTGGTACTGGGTGGGGATATAGGGGAAGCTCGACGGCCTGGTCGTGTTTGTGCCGCATAGGTATTGAACACGATAATACGTGCATGCTCTGCTCACTGGCGGGGGATAGGGGTATCTGGGCGGTCTCGTATTCTTGCGAAATGTAAGGCGAGCTCATGGAGTTCTGAGGCGTATGCCGTGCTCTCTGCGCCCAGTCCATATGCCGACTGGCAAAGTGATCGCTTGGATTTGAACCGATGGTCTCCTTGGTGTCCCGGATGTTGGCTCGTGGAGGAGTCGAGGGCAATGGAATTGGTGGAGGAGGTTCTTCGTATGCTGCTTGCGATCCATCGTGTCCGCCCGGGAGCAGTTCGTCGTGCGCAAAGTTCTGGCCAATGTGGTCTTCCATTTCCCAGTATAATGCGCACGTCCGCCTCCAGCACTTCTTCAGTTCTCCGACAATCTTAATGTCACCCCCACCTCCATCTTCTCGGTTCCGGAGATCGTTGTACAGGCTGTTGACAAGGTCGCAGAAGTTGGTCCGTAGGGAGTAAAAGGGCATGAAGTCGTCGACGAAGTAGTTCAGGATCCAATGGCGCAGGGCTACAAAGGTGCGTACACGGACAATGCGCCCGAAGTCGTCTTGGCGGTCGACGGCCCATCGTAGGCGGGAGATGAGGTATGCAACGAGGTCTCGGGTGCAGAGGAAGGCGCGGAAAGTGAGGAAAAAGTCGGAGAGGAGTTCGTAATCCAGGAAGCTGGGAGAGGTGATGTGTGCGACAAGTCGTGAAGGGGTGGCTGCGAGGATGTCGCCGTCGGCGTTGAAGCGCACAACAGCGCGGTCGTCGGGGTTGGTAGTGAGGGCATCGTAGAGCCGGGGGCTAATAGGCATGTGGGAGACGCGCGCTGAAGAGGGACCAGAGGGGGGCATTGGCGGGCGGTCCATGGTGGCGCGGAAGCGGTGGGGGACGGGCGAGTAGGCGTCTGATCGAGGGCGCGACGACAGGAACGACTGCCGCACCCCTCGCTGTGGGGTCAGGAGCGAGTTCGCAAAGTCGTCGGCGCCTGAGGTTCGGGTGTAGACCGAGGAGCGCAGGTCGGCGGTCCCCCGTGTGCTGAAACGCGGAGTGCCCAAGCGGTAATGCGGTATGGGGACCTGCAGCAGCGGGAACGACGACGTGTCTGCCGTCTTCGGGCGCATGTGCGACGGGCGCTCAATCACCACCTTGAAGGTGCCCGGCTCGTGGCTGAGCGTCGTGGCCGTGTGGTCGTCGACGGTGGAGAACGAGTGCGAGCGCGCGTGTGCGAGTGGGCGTCCAGCGGAATCGGCCTGGGAGTGCTGCTGGAAGGCATTGCCCTCGCTCAGGTCCGGTAGCGGCGGTGTAGGTTCCGAATGGGGTGTTCGCGAGCCGTAGAGACTCTGCTCCCACTCATTGCTCAGCGGCCGGAGTTTGTCGAGTGTTGCGCTGTCGGGCGGCGTCTGGGGCGGGAAGACGAAGGGATCCGGCTGACGGCCTCGCTGGTTTCCCGGACGGGCTACAGGTCTGGAGGTGTCAGTCTACGAGTCTACGAATGGTTGGTGTTGAGGTTGGTGAGGCATGGGATCATGTGAGGCATGACGTGCGCCTTCCTCGCGGGCTGCGTCCACTGGTCGCTCTTTCCTCTTGTTCATGATGTTTACCGGTGGCCGTAGAACATCAACACCAATCTCGACGTACCTCAGGTATATGACGCCGTTGTGGACGTTCGCAACCGTGTAGCTGCGGCCGGCCGAGGTCGAGTTGCTCGTCGTCGTGTCGATGGTGGCGTTGCTGGTGCCGCGTGCTCTCGTCCTCCTCTTGAGCTGCTCCCTCGAGTCCTTCACCCTCCGCAGGCGGCGCGAATCATCAGCGCGCCTTTTTGCCGTGTCTGAGCCTGCACCTGCACCCGCACCGGGCCAGATGTCGCGTTTCCCTTCAGCAGGGGAGCCCGGCGCAGGGAAGACATTGTGTTGCATTGCCGGTAGGGCCATCCTCCCCCATAGCACTTCAGCTCAGCGGGTACATGTGCGTGGTTGTCATCGACGACTCGAACTGTGCAGACGTCTTGATTACAAGTAGCAAGAGGGAATCGACTAGAGTTGATTCATGTGCAGCCCTGTCACATCGCCCAGCGCGCGCCATAGCAAGGCCATTCACCAGTCAGCGCCCGTGTCGCTTGGGCTGAACGCCGCCTGCATTGACCCAGGCCTGGCCGGGCTAATCTGACCTCGCTTCACTCCGTTGCTCCGCCTGGTGAACAGGGAAGGCCAAGTGATTACAGGTTTGCCCGTCTGCTTGCATCGCCGCGCACGCACTCGAACCCGCTCCAATGCAGCTGCGAACTGCTTTTTCGCTGCCCCTCGGTCCCCGTCCTGCGAACGGCCGCCACGCGCCTCTGCCTCGACACCCAAAGCCACTACTGCCATGCTACTGCGATATTACGTCGGCTGCCGGCCGATAAGCTTCCAGCCACGTGAATATAAGGTTCCTCCCACTTGCTATCCCCGTGACCCCGAGGGTTGTTGATCGAGGTTGATCAAGGTTTTTACCCGCCTTGATAGTCGTTGTGCAACGGCCTCCACTCCCCCGTGGCCGCACAAGATTGCCAAAACAACAACGCATAGGACAATCAATAAACACATCATTCGCCCTGCGCTCCTGTACCAGGGTCCTGCCGTTTCCAGGCGACCACGCATCCATCCAGTGCCGCGATCTGCCACTGCATCGGTACTTTCTCCTTCCTGGCGATCCAACGCCGCCATTGGCCACCCTCATCATCTCGCTAAACAAGTGTTTCCCTCCATCGCAATCCCTTAGCATCCTGCAAACACCAAGGCGGCTCATCTCCGACCCTGCGCAACGTCATCAACATCCCTCTTATGAAACAGGGCTCCCTTCAACAGTCGCTGCCGCAATTTTACGCATCCACACTGACTACACAGGATTTTAACGTCTAACGTTCAAGCTGACTCGACGCGCATTATCACGTACATCATCTCTGCCCGTTGCGTCAGGCTGCAATCCTACAAGCGCACTATAGTCACACCCCGGATGCCCATCAAACCGCGAGCTACTGCACGACATCAACCATGGTACCACCTGTCAAGTCGTGCATCTGGCCTCCACCGCTTGACACCTGTAAGAATACACAGACGCCCACACACTAATTCCACCTTACAGCAAAACCTGCGCCGGTACATCTAGCTCGTGCCGACCTAAGCCGAGCACACCACCCAAAGTACTTGAAAGCCATATGCAGCAGATACGACAGTAGTGGAGTGCCGAAGAACTGCCTGATGCACAGCACAATTTTCTATATTCGGCACGACCTGCAGCACTCCGACTTCGCCTCGTTATCATCCGGGCCGAATGGCGGAGCAAAAGGGACGAGCCTAAGCTAATCACCCTGAGATTTTCGATACGAACGCGTGAATGGACAGGATGGTAGATCTGCGGTGCATATCACAGATACCGAGATCGGTGAAGATGTGTCGTGAAGGGCAAGATCGTTCTCCGACAATATTCGCGTCTCCTTCCGCAAACTTATAAGAATGCCTGCGCGAATACACCGACGACTTGGATATCCAATACGATGTGTTGTCTATCCAAAACCAATAAATGAGAAATAAGAAATACCGCAGCCTCGAAACATATGAAAGCCTTGTATTGTCAAGAGACAAGACAAGACGCATCGGATACCCCCGGCCTACCGCCCGTCCAAAAAGACGATTCATGGTTCGCTCAAAAAGGATACCCCCTCACCCCATCTTCAGCATCAACATCCAACCCCGCCTCCACCTGCTCTTGATGTTTCCTATCTAAATACTCCAACAGTACATCCCCATACATCTCCCTCCCCTTATACCGACTCACGTCGTCTCCCCAAGAACGAATCGCACTGGCTAGTCTACCCGGTACGTAGGGCTCCTGTGCGATCTCCGTGATGGGGTGGAAGTAGGTCCGGATTGTGAAGACTACGCCGCCGGATTTGGGGAGTCTAACGTACCGCTGCGTCAGCATGATCTTACTCTGACAGAACAAGAGAAAGGATGAGCGAGGAACTGTAGTAAACTGAGTTACGAGATAAGGACGGATAACATACCGTCTCAAGCTCTGCCTCTCACTCCTAAACCAATGATGCTCAACCGCTTTATTCTTCTCCGCTGTAAACCACCCTATCCCGCCTTCTCCCTCTGTATCTTCAGGTCCTATACTAGAGCTCCATGCGAGATTGTCGTCGACTTGAATGAAGTAGTTGTTTCGTAGTACGGGGGATTGGGGTTGGATTCGCCGGAAGAAGTTGGACATTGGTTTTTCGAGCTTGGTTTTGAAACTATTGTTCAGTATTGTAAGCAAATCGCGCTCGACTGAGGGAGGCTGGGGTTGGATGGAGAAGGATGGAGAAGGATGGAGAAGGATGGAGAAGGATGGAGGTGGAGGGAGAAGAGCGGAGAGAACATACCCAGGCACATCCCCACTAGTATGAATAGTAGACAATGGCATACCAAACTTATCCTCCAACCGCCAAAACCCCGCCAAGAGTATCGCGCCAGCGAGGAGGTAGTACTGTCCATCTTCCCTCTCCACCATAATAGCAAGATCATCTTGAACCAACCTTGCACACATCTCCATCGCATCTTCCCTCCCACCATTCCTTTCCAGTCTTTCGACATCGAAGATTTCGCCCGTGGCCAAATTCCTGAATCCATTTTCCATACCCTCGGAAGGGGGGATGGTCTGGAAAACGGTGGGATAACGTTGTGGTAGGTAGGAAGATAATTCCTCGAGGAGTTCCACTGCGGCGGCGACGGCTTCTGGGGCTGTTCTGATGCATTTCGCTCCTCGCTCTTCTATCCTTCTTGCTTTTAGGTCGTGGAACTGCATGTAGTGATTGTCGAGTTCTATCCATTCGTCCCAGTTCATGTTGCGAAGACCCATTGTGATATTGTACTTCGGGCCGTGGCGGAAGGGACGGTAAGGGAGGGGCTTAGTGGTAGTGAGAGAAAAGGATGGGTAGGGGGTCGCCGGAGGCCGGGTGAAGTCTGAGGGTGGCCATACTCCTGGAGGGCGATCCGGTGTTTTGAACGGGCCTCGTTTTTCGAGGTTGGGCGTACTGGGTCGTGGATTGTTCTGTCTGCGGGCGCGGATTAGGTTGGTGGCGGCGATGGTGAAGTATGTGAATGCGGCGAAGAGGAGGAGAGAGTAGAGCGCTGCTTTGGGTTGGATATCAGTCTGTTTAAGGACGTTGTTAAGGCGGGTTTGAGCGTTGGTGCAGTGCTGTTGTATGTCACGTGCAAGACGTCCGGCATGCTCGTCCAGGTCATTGATAAGAGCAGCCATGATGAACACCAAGTAACAGGACTACTCCTACAAAGTCCAAGTGTAAAAAAGAGAGGACGTCACGTACATAGTATAAGTAGTCACAAACAAAACAGCACAGTACCCAATGACCTTACACATCATGCGCGACATGTAAATCGACTTCCTATTAATTCATCTGGGATATGTACAAGCCAATCGTCTTCCGCGATAACGACCCTGGACATTGTGGGGTTGGTGCGCATGTGTCGTCAGTAGTGGTTATCTTGTCTGGGCGGGGAAAGGAATACCCCACTCGGTTAGACCTGGTGTCTATCGATGCGACTCTTGATAACAGGGATGGACGTCCGAACAGCCTGCCTGCGATGTGGTCTGGGGGCACAACAATTCCGCAACGCGTTTAGATGAGTTGCACCGTGACGCCGTTGGGGAACAGGAGTTGGCTTTGGATTTGATATTGTCTAGCTGGGGTGAGTCCGGATTACCCCCACTTTTTGTCTGGCGACTTGTATTCATGTGTGTGTACTACGCGCCTTTCCGATTTGTACGTTGTAGCAAGCAGTAGTCGCCCCATTGGCGACGGAACTTGGCGGGGATGATAGATAGGTCTGGGACCCAGAGCATGCGACTGATGGTATGGGTTTTGCTTGCGTCTAGGAAAGGAAGACACTTCAACGATTTCCAGTGTTCTGTGTCGGAAATGTAGTCCGGCTCAAGAGCTGTTGGTGGAGCGCCAGCAGAGCGAGAATCAACGATGAAGTCGCACTGCTCGATATCGGTCTGTTTCGTCAGGTTAGTGAGATCCACGTCTTCGTTCCCTAGTTCACATACATATTTGCTGGGATCTTCTAGGTTCTCATCGTTCATTCCAGTCGGTATAAGCCAAGTGCCGGGGAATAGTCCAAGACTGGCGTCGGCTTCGCTGAACTCGCCTGGTAGGAGACCGGAGAATTCGCTCTTGATGAATTTGGCGCGGACACCTTGGGGTAGGTTGAAGGAGGATGGGAAGCGGTACCACTCTTTGCCTAGACATACGGTGTCTCCCGAACGTGCAATCGTGTGGTCGAACAATGGCTTGTAAACATTGAGTGGCGCTGAGTATGCGGACATGTGACCTGAAATGTGTTAAAGATCAATTCAAGGTTCTGCCAAAGGTACTAGTGCTTGCTGATCGATAGCATGAGAGCTGATACATACCATGAATTCTAAGTATGCCCAGATTCAAGGACAAGACGATGGGAACACAGACGATGACGAGCTTCACCATTGGAGGTATCTTGCTCACTAGATGTCGTGGATCCATTGAACCAAAGTTGGCCAGCAAGATGTGCAAGGAAAGGGCTGCGTTCCAGGCCAATGCTGGATACGCTGGATACATGAAACGCTCTTCTTTATGAGGCTGGACGGTAAATATCGCCAACCACAAATAGAATGGGCTGACAAAGGTTATGGACCTCGTGAGCGTATTCCGATAAACAGCTCTGTCAAAGACCACATACTGGATCAACAGCAGCGGAAGAGCAGCCAACGCGAGGAAGAACCAAATGTTGAAGTTGAGTGCAAGATTTCGAACGTAGAAATGCCACGGCTCTACACCGTAGATATCAGGGCCTCTACTACCACCGCTGAACACATTGTATAGTACGATGTTGAGCGGCACGCATACGAGCTTCCTGTAAAACAGCGAGTCGATGGCTGTTTGCAAGACTACAATGGTGAAGGCTCTAGGTGCGCCTTGGAGTAGTATTCTTCGCAGACTCTCTTTGATGGTGCTGGTGAACACGCCTGCAATGAAGTCTTCCGCAATGAAGGGCAGAGCGAGCGCACCGGCAAAGGGCCAACCAAGAGCACTGCCGACGGCGAACCATGCAATACCTTGTGCAGTCCTCATTTTACGTCCGGACCAGTCCATGAACGACGCAAATCCAAGCATAGCACAATTCATGGCGAAACTCGACGGAAGATATGCAGGGGCAGCGTGATACATGCCGGGGCTTATGACCATGATCATGGCGAAGAAAGACGCAACGCGCACCTCGAACATCTTCATGATAGCTGTGTACATGCGAGCCTGGCATCCTGCGCAGGCTATGGCCAGGACTGCTCGGAGCAAGTAGAACTCGAACACCTTGGATCTTTCCAAGCCTAGCGCTTGCAGAGGCAGCGCCGCGAGCCCTATTACGAGCGAGTGTATAGCAGTGTAGGCCCAGCTTCGGATGGCATAGTCAGGAGAGTACTCCCAGGTCTGGAGGCCGTAGCCATGGTTGAGGTAGTGGCTTGGTTCCCAGTAGTTGAAGACTTCGTCGCAGTCTTGGATCGGCGAGAGGGCGGCGGCGGTGAGATTGGCTAGGGCGAACACGCAGAAGATGCCGAACGTGGAGAGATGGGGTGGTGTACTGGACACATGATGCATACGTTAGCCTGTGACCGCAGGGTAGAGGATTATGGCATGGCTCAATTGAACTCACTCAGGGGCCGAATGCGCCGTCTTTGAGCGCGATGTAGACATGTCAGCGACAATGATTCCAGAACGTGACTGCAACCCCCATCGAATTACCTAGGTACGGAGTATCGTCACTTCACAGAATGATGCGGTGGGTCTGCGGTCATAGGGCTGAGCTGCGCGTGCCCGCCAAGCTTGTTAGCGCGCATCCAAAAAGGCGACGTTCTTCCCTGAAGCGCTCCTTTCAACCAGAACTATCATCGCACGCATTTAAGCAAACTGGTGCAGACAACGCAGTGGATAACTCAGCCATCACGCGTGCTTCAGAGAAGACTGCAGAGAGAGACACGAGCAATGTCCGACTCTCTGGAACCACCGGCCAAAAGGGCGCGGTTGGAGGCGGACGCTCCCTTTTATGGCACATCTACATCTGCATCTGCGCTCGACGCGCCGGGCTCGCCTGTCGATGACATGGACGACGACTTCTACGACACTACGCCCGTCAAGCCCTCTGCGCTGCCCTCACAGGCGGACGGAGCGACGTCGTTGTCTGCGACGGCGGCACCCGCGCCGGCCTTTCACCTTCCTGGACTCGGCTCTGTGAGCGAGACCCCGGCCGCGCAGTCGCAGTCGCAACCACCAAACGGCGCAGTCGTCCCAGACGACGCCCCGGAAGACGGCGAGCTCTCGGATGACGAGGCCTTCTACAATGATGCGAGCCCGCAGGCCGCCATCCCAGTCGAGCCGCCCGTAGCCAATCACGGCCAGGCGCAGGATGAGGCTCCACAGCTCCAGGCCGTCGCTGCTGCCGATACGCCTGCTGCCGACACAGACGGCGAGCTCGACGCGGCCCTGACCGCCGCCATAGACCTCCAGAACGAGATTGAAGACACCACAGACGCTCCTGCCCCCGATGGCGCGGCGTTCGATAGCAAGGCCGAGTTCCTGCGCGCGGCCGAAGCCAACAGAAATGACCAGAGCGCCGAGTGGCAGCTCGACTCAGATGCATCCGACTCAGACTCATCGTCTGACTCCTCCAGCTCGGACGACAGCTCCGATGAGGGCTCAGACGAGGGCGAGCTGCTCGACCCCGAGGAGCAGGTCCGTCTCTTGATGGCAGAGGCCGCCGACGAGCCAGGCGCGTCCGGCCCAGTCAAGGTCAAGACGCTCAACGAGCAAGACGAGAAGTTCGAAATGCCCGACATCGCAGTCACGCCAGAGACCAAGATCACAGAGCTCGGCAAGGTGGAGTCCATCGTCGGGAACCTCGTTGTTGTCAAGGCCAAGATGTCTGGCGATGAGCAGGTGCTGGAGTCTGGCTCGGCGCTGTGCCTCGAAAACCGCACGGTTGTCGGCAAAGTCTCGGAGCAGATTGGTCGCGTGGAGGAGCCGCGCTACTCTTTTGGCTTCAACGATGCCGCTGAACTCGAGACTCTAGGTATCAAGAAGGACACACCCATCTACTATGTCGACGAGCACTCGACGTTCACCGAGACAGAACCCATCCGCCGACAGAAGCACACCGACGCATCGAACCTCCACGACGAAGAGACCAATGATGTCGAGTTCTCGGATGACGAGAAGGAGGCCGAATACAAGCGCGAACAGAAGGCCAAGAAGCGAGCCAGGCAAGAAGGCAACGACGAGCCAGTGGTGCCCGTCAACATCCCAACCGGGCCCAGACTACACGTCGATGCTCCTGCACCGCCCATCTACCGACCCATGGAATACCAGGGTGGTGGTTTGAAATACAGCGATGATGAAGACGAAGATCTCGGCATGTACAAGCCGCTCGCCAGACCAGACCATTTCGAGCAGATTGTTGGGCAAGGTGCACCATTAGAGGATCGCAGCCATGTCCGTAGGGGTATGGGTCGCGGCAGAGGTCCCTGGGGTGATCGAGGTCGCGGCTTCCGTGGCCGAGGAGGTGGCGGAGGGCGTGGTGACTTTGGTGGAGGACGCGGCGATAGAGGAGGCTATGGCGGCGGACGAGGCGACTTCGGGGGTCGTGGTGGTGGAGGGCAGCGAGGCGATCGAGGAGGCGGCAACAACAACAACCAGAACAACCGAGGCGGTGGAGACAAAGGTGGACGTGGCGGCAAGAATCAGTCTGACCGTGGCAGGCAACCAGAGCAGTTCCAACAAAACAACCAGAGGAACCAATACCAGGAGGGACGGTCCGCAACCTCGGCATCACCAGCCCGCCAACAGCAAGATCGCAGCCAGTCTTACACCCAGCAGGACCGTGGTCAGTCTCAGCAAGCCCAATCCCAGCAATCGCCAGCCGGCGGTGGTGGGAAGAACAAGAATCGCAAACAACGGCAACGCGAAAAGAGGGAACGGGAACGCCAGCAACAGCAGCAGCAGCAGTCTCAGCAGTCGCAGCAGTCTCAACAGCCTCAAAAACAGCAACAGCAACAGCAACATGCTTCCCCGGCACCTTCTGGACCATCAAATGCTAACGCTTATGCAAACAACAGCAGCGCAGGTTGGCCAGTGCCTTTCTCCGGTCCCTCACAGCCAGCGATCCCCTACGCTGCCGCACCTCCGCCTCCACCTCCAGCAACAGCAGCGGCCT